ATTATAAATTTTATAAAATTAAAAAATTAAAATTAAAAAAAATACAGAGTAAAAAATTAAAAATATTTTTAAAAAAAATAAATATATATATATACTTATAATAAAAAGGTGGTGTATATATCATCAACCTAATTTTAATTAAAATAAGTCCAACAATTTTTATTGGTGAACTTTACTGTACAAACTGCATGTCTTCTTTTACTTTTTTCTTTTACAAAATTTTTTAAGCCGAAAATATAAGACTCTATAGAACTCAAATAGTTAAGTCCATACAGAATCATATCTATTAATCCATGCTTTCCACCAGTTTCTCTGTAAATTTTAAATCATAAAATAGTAGAATTTTAGACAACAAATCAATTGTGGTATCAAGTAGCATCATTATTAGTTAATACTATAATTATTTTCCTTGCAATCAACAGGCTTATAAAATATGTAAATACAAATTTTATTTATATTATTAATTATTCAAAGACCGTAAATAATAGTATTAAATAAAATATTATTATGTAAATTAAGTGTATTTCAATAAATAAATTACTATAATTTACTTAATAAATATATTAAATTACTTATTCACTAGGCATTAGGTCACCTTTACCGTTCTAATCCAATCACTAGAAGGCTTGCACAAAAGTTTTTTCAAACTAAATACAAAATAAATTTTGATAGACGCTAAGATTTAAATCAGTAACATTTATTTATGTAATAATCCGATTTCATCTGAAAATAATAAAATTTGAAAGAAAAAATAATAATAATTAAAAATAAAAAAAAGTTATAAAAATATGATAAATGAGATGTATGTGTATTTTTGTATAAGTAAATAATTTACTCAAAAAAAATTAAAGTTTTTATGTTAACATTATAAATTTATAACGTCTATCTAGAATTACAGTTATCATTGTATTTTTTGTGTTATCGAAAAACTTGACAAAAGACTTAGAATTATAGTCTCTAACATAAAAAACAAATTTTATTTTTATTTTTATATAATAATAAAAAATCAATCCCAAATTATTTGATAAAGAAAAATGTTCAAGTATCTCATTATTTTCTTCTCAACTATGAAGTTTCAAATTGTTCTCAATGAAATCTCTTACTCTCTAAGGGGGTCTAAGACTTTCAAAACACACAAAAAATTTCACAAAGTGAGTTTTAACATTCAATGAAAACATTACACTTATAGTATTGTTATATTTATAATAATAATTAAACTAATAATTTTAACTTGTATATTTAATAATTAAAAAAAACTATAATTTAATAAAAAAATATTTACTTTGAAAATTTTAAAACTCAATAATGTATATTTTTTTCTGAAAAACTCAATAATCTATAACTTGACACTAAAAATTAAAAAATAATATATATATAACACATCATTTCATATGGATATAATTATTTTTAAAAAAAAAATAAATCTAGTAAGTTTTTATTCAAAATAAGATATTTGATATATTATTATGACAATAATATTATTGAATTTAAAGCTAAGATACTGAATTATCTATAACAATAAAGTAGAAGTTATAGGCCAACACTTGTCTCAGACCTTCTTCCCCTTTCTATATATATATATATATTATTAAATTGTATTTTACAGTTTGTTTTCTTTTACGTCGTGTTAGAAGAGTATGAGAGTTTCTTTGATCAATATTGAATGTGTGATAAAGATTCTGTTGAAAGAGAAAAAGAAAGATAGAGTGAGTGATTTTCTTGGATTTTGATATGGGTGGGTGTGTTTCTTGTATTAATCAAGCATTTTCCAACAGGGGAGAGGAATCACAATCTGGAAGTGGAAGTGGAAGTGGGAACAGCCAAGTTACTATTGTTCGCTCTGCCAGGCCTAGTACAGGTCAACTATCTTTCTTTTTCATTCATCTTATTTCACACATTGCTTCACTTTCTTGCATTTCACTATTGTTAAGAGTTACAAGTAACAAGAATAACACAATGTTCGATAACGATTTCAACTTTTTAGCAATTCTAGCATGCAAGAAACATGCATTAATTCAAGTATGTAATTTTCTGAATGATTATATTGCAATCTTGTATGATTTTTATCAAGATCGCTCCGAATGCCTTATCAAGTCAAACGTTAAGTTTCTTGAGATGAAACTGAAAATTATTTACAATCCATACAATTTAACTTTTTTATCTATGTGAAATGGAGGGAGTAGTTTTATATGGCTGTGACAGCATGGCATAATTATTTACAGCTTGTGTTATGTAATTTGTACGTACATATTTTTGAGTTGATTATTATTTATTTAGATAGAAGAAGAGGACGACAAGAGAATCGTGTTGTTGTTGGGTCAACAGCAGCAACATTTACATTCCGAGAGCTGATAGTTGCTACAGAGCATTTTGGGCAACAAAATTTTTTAGGTCAAGGAGGGTTCGGGCGTGTGTACAGAGGTGAACTTAGGGGAGAAATAGTTGCAGTGAAACAGCTTGATCAGGAAAGCCAACAAGGAAACCAAGAATTTATGGCGGAAGTTAACATGCTGAGCCTCTTGCATCACCCAAATCTTGTGAACCTAGTTGGATACTGTTCGGAGGGTGATCAGCGACTACTGGTTTACGAATACATGGAATTGGGGTCTTTGGAGAATCATTTATATGAGCTTGCTCCTGACAGGCAGCCACTTGACTGGAAGACCAGGATGAAAATAGCATTTGGAGCAGCAAAGGGGTTAGAATATTTGCATGAGAGGAGTGTCATATTTAGAGACTTGAAGTCATCCAACATCCTACTGGGGGAGGATTATCATCCAAAGTTATCAGATTTTGGCTTAGCAAGAAGCGGTCCGGTGGGTGATCAGACTCATGTATCCACCCTGGTGAAGGGAACATATGGCTACTGTGCACCAGAATATCTCATGACTGGTCATCTAACTCCCAAATGTGATGTGTATGCATTCGGAGTGGTCATCCTCGAACTTATTACGGGGCGCAAGGCTGTTGATGGTAGCCGTCCACCTGATGAGCGACATCTTGTTTTGTGGGGAAGACCTCTTTTTAAAGACCGCAAGATGTTCCAAACACTTGCTGACCCTCTACTTGGGGGGAATTATCCAAAGCGATCACTTTACAATGCACTTGCTGTTGCAGCAATGTGTGTGCAGCACAACCCTGATGCAAGGCCTGTCATGCCAGATGTTGTTAGTGCTCTCACATTTCTGGGTGCAGATGAACATGATGGAGCTGGTTCATCAACAGCAGCTGGAAATAGAGAAGATGCTGGACAGATTGACACTCCCACAAATGCTGGAACACAGTTAAACACCAGTGAAATTGTAGAAGAAAGTCAGCAATCACAGAGACCCACCAGTTCTACAAATGTAGAAGAAAGTCAGCAATCACAGAGACCCACCAGTTCTACAAATGAGTAAACACACCCATTTATTTTGCTGTTCACTTTTTAGTCACATTAATAGAGACAAATTTGCAAAGTTAGGATTTGTGTATCCAACTCATGTCATTCGGCTACTTGAATCATGTATTCATATACACCGTTCAAAATAAAAACAAGGCTCGTAGGAAATAACTACGTATTACTACATTTAAATGCACTAACCATGTACGTCAATTCAGCATACTTTCATATACCATTTAAATGCACTAATCATGTACGTCAGCGGTGGAGATTAGCCCAACCGCAGAAAATCTAATTCCATTTAGTTCCACCTTATTATTAGAACAATCACTAAACTCGTTAAGATATAAAATTAAATAATTTAATTCTAATAAATCATACTTTCATAGTAGTAAAAATTAAATAAAATAATTTGACATTCAAAATACATAAAAATATTTAATAATTCAAATATATTGTAACTGTTAAATATATATTTTAACAATACATAACAATATTCATTGACAATAAATTTACACTTGAAGTAAAAAATAAATTAAACATAAATACTATAAGTTGATTTTCATTTTTTAAAAGAAAAAATAAAGCAATGTTGCATTTTGATCTTTGAGCAATTTTCTAATTCTTTAACTAAAGTTTTCTAAAAGTCAATTATTTAGTATTTTTTGATCAAATTTGACTTTCAAAACACAATTTATTAACTAAAGTTTTCTAAAAGTCAATTATTTAAATTATTTAATATTTTTTGATTAAAACACATGAATTATCGAACATACATTTAACACATTTAGTGACTCTTCAATCAATAAAAAAAAAACGGTCCTTATTATGCAAACATACATTACAATCATAAATTTATGTATTAGTTAACTATTTTTTTCATTACTGAATAAAGTTATTATTTTATCCCCCACAATAAAATTGAATAAAAAATGACTCCCAAATGAACGTGAGGTCTCAAATACGTCTCAATGACATCACTAACTAAAATTCAGAACTGAAACAATTACAAATGCAGCATCTATTTAATTTTTCTAATACAAAGGAAAAGGATTGACACCAAACTGAACTGATTATAACAATCAAAAAACAAGAATGGATCGTCACCTCATTTGAATTTCAAATCCAATAGACTAGTTAATGAAACACAAGCAATAGTATGACCAATGTAATTTCAACTTCAAGATAGCATGAAGAAAGAATTACATATGTTGAACCGGCAGCGCAATTAAAATAAAATGGACATCTAATCTATCAGTTTGTTAGTAGATTTACAAAATTTCAATATTCAATTTCTTCTAAATCTTCCCTAAATACCCTTTCAAACTAAAACTAAACCAAAAAATAAGGAGGCCAGTAGCACTGGACTTGAGAAGCCACACCGGGCCATATCAATCACCAAACGATCCACCAAAAAATAAGGAGGCCAGTAACTATCAGTTTATTTTTTCTTCTTCCCCTGCCACAATAACAGAGTCAGTTTCAGGAAATCGCTGAGACTTCTGCGTAAACAAGATGATGAAATAAACAAAACATGTTAGCAAGAAATATACCGAGCCTAAATAGTCATCCATGGTTAACTGTTTCCGCTTCTTCAGAGAGGGACTCTCAGTCTGTCTAGGCAAGGAACGCTTCGACGGGGTCATGCTCTGTACGGTTCACCAACTTGGCTTAAACAACAGTTGACGCGAACGTAATTCAAATAACACGTATGTTTTAGGTTAAAAAGGAAATACAAACCTTGGCCGCAAGTTTCTTCTCTTTACGAGCTTGTCTCTCCCTCTCATCATATTCTTGGTTTTCCTTCTCTACCAGCCGAATGAGGGTGTCACACCTCCTTGTAAGTTCCTGTGTTGTGCGAGACTTGACAAACCAATCAAAACGAAACAAGGGTGACATTCGAAAAGCTGCCTTCAACTCATCCCAATTACCATAGCCAAGTTTGTGAATCATGCATATCTGCAAATTTCATATGAAGTCAGACGACACAAAAGTTATGTTAGGAAAACACCAGACTAAATAAGAAACTGAACATAAACGAAAAGAAATAAATTTTGGCAAAAAGAAATAAGATTCACACCATGAATCGATCACATTCTTCATTGTATAACTTCCCTTTGTTTTGCCCATATTGTATCTTCAATTCCAGCCAAGGATTCTTGTAGCGGTCCAACTTCTTCCCAATAGCTTTCATGATCTCATCTTTCCGGGATATTCTTGCCTCCCCTCTTTCGATGTTTTTAATTATTCTATCATAATCTACAAACAATAAGTCAAAAGGAAAAAATCAGACAGACCATTGGTTATTTAATGGGAAATCATATTCAATTTTTATTTGGCAAATCAACATACATCAAACCCTTGATATTTTAATGGGAAAGAAAATTCAGGATTCATTTGACAAATCAACATTTCACACACATTAAAAAGAATGAAGACACAGCACTAGTTTAACTCAATACTAGCCAGCCCATATATCAAAAATCCTTATTATCGACAATATAAAACAATCAAATTAATTTTAGAAAAAAACAATGTAAAATTACAGTTATAATTCTCATTTTGGATTCTATGAAGTACTTTCAGCATTTACCACGTTCATATTGGATGTAACTTACCATTTAATTCCTTGTATCTTTCTTTGAAGACTCTTGCATATCTTTCAACTTCCTCCTGTGTTTTTCCTTCCATCTCAGAAGCAATACTTCTTATATCATTTCGGCCATACTTTTCACAGGCCCTAATGAAAGCATTGAAATCCTTCCGGCTCCATGATGAAAATCCCTATGTTCATAAAATATCAGAATTTAAAAATTAGTAACAAATAGAACAGTGCCAAACCTTAGTTTATAAATTACTATAAAGAAATTCGCTCACCTCCTCTAGCAACTGCTCCTTTTCTTCTAACTCTTCAGCAGTCAATGGATCTCCCACCTCTAAACATACAACACGTATTTCATGATTTAAGTAATTAGCACATTTCCATCCGAGGGATGCTTAAATTACATTTCCTCCCTTAATAATTTTAAAAATTACAATCACCTCTTCTAAAGGCAGGAATCTGCTGTACTTAGTTCAATTTAATGTAAACAACCCTTTAGGGATGAAAACATTTTATATTAGGAGAGAACACTCCTAAGAGGCTTATTCGCCCTAAAATAGACTAAAGTCTAACATTGGGGAGAGAGCACTGTAATTAAATTATCTTTCAGAGGAGTGTAATTTAACCAATTAATTATATACAGACAATAAGGCAAAAAACTAGTCTGTTGAGTACTTCCGTACCTTCTGGTTCATCAACATCTATGGAATCTTTCACCTGATTCTTCTGATGTGTTTGCTGAATTTATTTCAAAAGAATATAAGCACCAGCATTTATACACATAGTGAGCTAAACCTGAAATTGTTTAATCATTACAAGTTACCCACCATGAGGTAGCGAACTTCCTTTTCATACAGCTCACTCAACCTTTGTGTGTTGAAAAACTGGAAATCATGCCTGAAAAAAACAGAATTAAAAACAGTCAAAATAGAAGATGCAATATTACAAAATCGGGGAAGAGGGAAAAAAGTTTCTATAAGAAACTTACAATTGAGGCATCCTAGGAATACGGGGCTCTTTTGGTTTAGTAGGACCACCTTGCCGCATAGTTTGCTTGAAGTATTCAGACTCCGAGTAACTAGAGCCACCACCACCAAAAAAAGAGAAAAAAAATTAATTAAATTATACATCATTGCAGAAAAAGAAAATCAATAACTCAATATACAGAACGAAGGCCAATGTTTACTTGCGCTTCCGTTCTCTTCTTGGTGGCTCAACCCAGTTTTCACTCACAATTTTTTTGAAATCAAATTTGTTCTCATCCTGCATTTAAAGAAAAAAAACCCAGAGGTCAGTTAAAAACAAAGAGGCAGGAAAGAGTTGATGCATAAATTCATAGTCCATAGTTAGCAAATATAAAATGTCAACTTACCTTCGCATCATCAAAATCATACAACTCAGCAGCTACAAGATAAAAAAATATTAATGTTAGTAACTTCAAACATTCAAACAAGTTAAAGACAATATTAAATACCTAAACAACAGTTGAAAACTTTAGCTTGTATGCAAGTTCTAATAACAACAGTTGAAGCCTCCATAAACATTAAGTGTAGAAACAAATAACTTCTACCTTTTATGTAACTGCAACCAAAACTAATATACGAAACAAAAACCATGACACATTAACTAGTTCACTTTTCCATCATAAGGATAAGTCTTCAACAGGATTTATTTTCTCTCTTTTGAATGATGTTAACAAATATGCAGAGCAAAATATAAAACTGATGGCTATACACTACACGAATTAAAACAACAAAATAGATTTTTAAAGACATCAATCAAACTATTGTTAGCAAAGCAGAATTTATATTCAAAGATTACATACTGTCATCCATCTTAAATTTGATAGCATCTTCAGTAAATTTTTTCATCTTAGCATCAAGCTCAGCTGTTGCTTCCTCTCCTTTAGCAATAATTCTGTCAATATCCTCATCTGTAATTGTACTGTCCTTGGAACTAAAAACCATTTCAGCACCAAATCTAACCATTTGAAGCAACTCATCTTTATTAACAGCTGCATACATAAAAGCATTATACCATATTAAATAATCCATAAATCTTGCAACAAAGAAATAAATAAAACCTGAAAACCCTTACTCTTCTGTTCAGCTAAACGCCCTTGCTGAATCACCAGAGCATCAAGTGCAAGCTTTTTGTAAGCCCTTTCAATGACTTTTTCCTCAATTGTATACTGTGTAATTACAGTGAAATGAGCTTTTGACAGAAATAGTAAATAAGAACTAGGAAGCACCAACACTTTAAAATGGATGTCATATCATGTCAAACACACATCTTGAACTTAGGATAACATATTAATTTTATATGTTGTAACTTAGGCTCAGACATATTTTTTTAGAATTTCTGTATCCACATCCAAGTGACATCTCATATCCAAGTACAGTTCTAGTATTAGTGATTCTAGATAGAAACATAATTAACGATGAACAGAATAATAATAAAGTATAAAACTGTAGACTAATAGACCTCAGTGCAAAACCGGAAAACTTGAACTTCTTTCTTTTGACCAATCCTATGAGCACGATCTTGAGCTTGCAAGTCAACTTGTGGGTTCCTGTTATAACATCATTATCAACAGATAATTAGTCGTGAACTTAAGGTACCAGCACAATTCAGAAGGCTGTTGACACAATCAATTAGAAAACTCACCAGTCACTGTCATAAAGAATAACAACATCAGCAGTAGCAAGATTAATGCCAAGACCTCCAGCCCGAGTAGATAACAAGAAGACAAATTTTTCACTTCCTGGTTTGTTGAAAACCTCAATGGAAGCATCCCGATCTTCTCCACCAGTATTGCCATCTATGCGACAATATTGGTATCCACGAAACATGAGATAATCTTCAAGTATGTCTAGCAGCCTAGTCATCTGAAGAAGAGCCACAAATTAGGCAAGAATGAAGAAAATACACTAGTTTAAATGAAATGACATAGTTTAGGAAGTAACTTATCCAGTAGAAGTGTAGAACCATTTCTATCAGTGACAAGAATCTTACACAGAACTGACCTGTGAAAATATAAGGACCCTAGAATCCCGCTCTTTTAGCTTAGGAAGTAGCTTATCCAGTAGAACCATTTTACCTGCAAATGAAATATTTTATTAAAAAAATGATATGATCTCATTCTCAGATCTATTAGATCATCCTAAAAAAAGACTTTTAAAGTACTACTAATATAAACTAAGTTTACCAGCATTTGTAATGAGATGGTCTCCAGTTGTATATGGAGGACCAGGTTCAGCACCTTGGAAGAGATATGGGTGATTACAACATTTACGTAGTTGCATTGCTATATTTAGGAGACGTTTCCGTTCTCCACCTGCATTCACAACCTCCAAATCCTTCTGCAGTAATGCCTTATAATACTGTTTCTGCATTTGTGACATTCCTACTTTGAGAATGGTTTCCTTTTTCGGTGGCAACCCTTTCTCAACGTCTGACTTCAACCTCCGAAGAAGAAATGGACGTAGGACCTTAATTATACACAAAAAATGAAAACATTACCATATATCATATATTATCACAATAGACACTAAGCAACCAAAAAAAGCTTAAAGGCTTACCTTGTGTAACTGCTGAACAACCTCATGTTCATCATTTTCACCAGAGATTTGAAACCATTCATCAAAAGTTTCTGCAGAACTAAATATTTCAGGCAAAAGAAAGTTGAGAAGAGCCCAGAGTTCATGCAGATTGTTCTGCAACATCAAAAGAAACAAATCACATTAATTACTCGAGTGTATTAACATTATTACTATACGTGCAACCAAAGAAAGGGAATTAAGATTCAGATTTCAAAATAAGCCACATCTCAGAACTTATATTTCAAATATATAAACCAAAGCAGAAGATAAAATTGTAATAATACATATAATAATAAAAGCTCTAGCAGTTGAACCGAAGTTATAATTCACTATAAATTAATATGAGATGGTCAACCTTTCCTCTAATTACAATTTACCAAGATACCATGTGCTAAAGTTTTCACTGTCTTTTCTACAATAGATGCTTCTCCAGCTTTTTTCTCTAATGAATTTATTCCTAATCCTATCTAATCCAGTATGTCTACTCATCTAACAAATTTTCATCACTGCCATGTTGAGTTTGAATTAAACACATGATATAGACTAAAAAATACCGTTCTTCAAGAATAACAACACCATTGTGTATGATAAACAAGTTATACCTGTAATGGTGTGCCTGTTATGAGGAGTCGATAGTTTGTATTGTATAGCCTCATTGTTTTGGACAGGAGTGAGTTCTCATTCTTGATACGATGGGCCTCATCAATAATTATGTAGCGCCAACTAAATCGCCGTAAAGCAGACTTCTCCTTGATTACCATTTCAAAACTTGTAACACACACATCAAACTTACCAGCAACGAGTAACTCCTCTCGTATGTGCTTCTGCAGTTATTTAAATCCATTAGACAAAGGTGTCAGAAGCAAGCATTAATTGCAATTTTCAACAAATAATTTGGTCAAGCAAAGCAAGTCTCACCCTTTCATCAGGGTTGCCAAGGAACTTTATTGCACGTAAAACAGGGCAAAAGCGCCGAATTTCATTCATCCAATTTCCAAGAGTAGATTTTGGAGCAACCACCATATGAGGGCCTGTTATTCCTCTGAACTCATGTAAGTAGCCTAACAAAGATATTGTTTGTAAGGTTTTGCCAAGCCCCTGCAAGACAATATATTTAGTCATTTCATCATGGCTTTTATAAAACAACTCATATTTCATCAAATTACATGTTGCATGCTACTTGTATTCAAATGCAGTTACTTAATGAAGATATATCTCCAAGGTCAGCATCTACTACCCACCATTTCATCTGCCAGAATTCCATTTATGCCATTCTCATACAACCGTATGAGCCAGTTTAGCCCAGCAAGCTGGTAATCTCTCATCTTCCCTTGAATACCTGTTAAACAAACAAGCCATTTCACATTAAAGTTAACAAAATCATTAGATATGGATACAAAGAATCCATGTGATAGAAAAACTGTGCATATAAAGTAGAAAAAAAATGTATTTAATTTAGAACAACATGTGGCTCCAATGAAAAATCCAGCAAGCAGAATGAAAGCCTTCTGCCAGTAGCAAAAATAAAACTTCAATATTTTCACAACCTAAGAATCCTTAACCAGTACTATGACAGAAAAGCTGAGATCCCAATATTCTTCCACATGAGCAAAGGAGATATGAGGATACAAATTATAGATACAAAGGAAGCTAGGATTGGAGACATGAGCTTAACCACAAATATAATAAACTAAAATAGAGCAATGTGGCCTTGCAAGTATGCAGATAAGCAGAAAAAATAAAAAAGCAATTACATGATGGTTGAGTCACCAGCCGTGTGCTTGCTAAACCATCTTCTTCTTCTTTAAGGTATTCTTCATCTTCCTCTTCTTCAGTTACTTTTGATGCATGGCGCCCCCTAAAATAGACAGTGGTTTAAGCAATATAAGTTCTTTGAAAATGCACAAATTCAGAACCAGATCAATCACCACTTTTTATTGCTTGTCTGAACATTGCCAACCAACAGTAGAAATTGAGGAACAAAATTCATTGTTTGCTTTTTCTTGTGATTATTATCTATAAGATGCAATGGAATTTGAAAGGAAACATTAGCAGAAATTGTTCATCTATATTGGATAAGGAAGATAAAATAGCTTCTACTCCCAGATTTCAAGCAGTTTGGTAAAAAAAAACTCCGCCACATGAAATATTTAATGCTAGTTTGCTTTCAGCATTTCAGGGGCATAGTATATAAATTTCACAAACTCTTAAAAGAACTTCAAAAGCATGAAAACACAATCACTAATAGAATTACAACTCAAGATGATAAAAATAACATGCAATTGTCATCATATTCACGAATTTTCAGATAGTACCTCCCCTTTGTCTTCTTCTTTTGAGAAGATTGGTCACCTTTGGCAAAATGAGCAAAGAGTTCAGTTTGCTGTAGGAGATAGTTCAATCGGCCCTTTCCTCTATTATTCTACATTCAATATAAAATCCACCAAATCCAAACACCAAATTATAATAATACAAGGAAGAAAAACCATCCCGAGTACAGTGAATAATTAACAGACGAACCATATCAGCATCAATGGACGCATTCTGCGCGTCCAATATCTCCTGAATTTTCTGTTTCTTCAATTGCTGCATTTCTCTCAATCTGGCCTTCTCACGCTTGCTAACTTCAGGATCAGCATTACTCTCCTTCTAAAACGAAACAGTAAAAAACCACAAATAAAATGAAAACCACACTCCAATGAACAAAAACAGTGCGAAAACTGAAATCCCAAGCGCAAACAAAACCACAAGCGAAAACACCAAAATGCTGCACAGGAAGACCCAAAGCGAAATCCAAACGGAGTAGCAAGCGAAATCATCAAAACGCGGCGCACGAAATTCGGCGCAAACGAAAACATGAAAAAACAGCACGCGAGGCGGAATCCGAGAGTCGCGAACGAAGATTCGCAAATGTAAGGTAAGGTTTTACCTGTTTGTCCTCGTCGTCATCTTGAGCGGCTTCGTCTGACGAATTATCGCCGTCGTTGGAGCTGGCGGAGCGAGCCACCGCTTCGAGCTCCTCGTCGTCGTCTTCGATCTGGTGGTTGGCGGCGGGGGCGTCGTCGTCCTCCTCCTCGGAGGAAGAAGATGAGTCGTTGGAAACCTTAGTTTTGGACGGCCTCCCCATTGGTATTTTTCTCAGATCAAGGGTTTCGCGAAGAGTGTGTCGTTTGGGTGTGTGAGAAATTAAAGAAAGAGAGAGAGAGAGAGCGCGAGCGAGTTTTTATTTTTAAAGCGTGATGGAAATTGTGGGTGGGGTGATGATCATTCAACAATGCGTTTGTGGCCGTCTGATTTGAATAGTGAGATCTGCGGCTCCAACAAAGTGGAAGCGAACCGAATATTTCGCGCCAATAATGGGATTGGGGAAACGTAACTTTCCCGCTTGCTTTACATTGAATTGGGTGAGTTTGGGCCGAGTCGCTGGGCCACACCTTTTCTTTCTGGGCTTTTGTCGGGGCTTCACCCGGTCACTACAAAAATAGTCTCAGAGATAACTGCGGTGGGAAAAGACCAATAGACAAACTCAAAGTTCTGACTTCTTAACTATAAAATCAACACATAAGTTCTCTTCCCAATTCAGCCAAGAATGAGGAGGTTCTTAATGTTCATGATGATTATGACACCAGCTGAAGTGAATTAAGGATATTGTACGAGTAGATAATTACCTTCCTATACCCTAAATTTCACATGGATTAAGATCTTTGAAGATAGTCATGTGTTCGGCTTATATGATATCACATTAACCAATGAACCAAGGAAATCCAAAAATTCATAGTTTGAGGTTGTCCCAAAACTATGCCACTGATCACAACTCTCTTTGGACCACCCAACACGTTTTCATTTGTGTGAAAAGTCACAAAGTGAATGATACGTGTACAGTCGAAGGCCAAAACAGGAACGAGGATGAGTCAAGGCCGAAGGCTTAATCAAGAAGTCAAGGTCCAGGACCAGTCAAAGCCCAATCAATATTTCCATTTCCAAGCAGAAAGTCTAAATGGAGGAGATGTTGAGAGTCTAGAAATAAGCATTACGATTAAGGATAATTACTCATTATAAATCGTTATGTTGGATAAAAGCTCGAAGATTTATACACAGGTTATAAATAGTAATTTTAGTAAGGTAAAAATATATGTTTAACCCGTATTTATTGCATCATCCTTATCCATGTCTTTTGCAAATACATTTATTTTCTCTCTTTCGGTAAAACGCATTGAGGATCCGAGACGTGGAACAGGGTAAAAGGCTTAGAAGATTATCCTTGCACCCTGTATGCAGGTACAATATGAGATCTTAAAACTGTAAATCTTAGTTTAATTTAATCCCACAAGCTAATTTGTAAATCAGAGTTATCTCCTACTAAAATGTACTTTTAGCTTTATCTCTAATGGATATATAATTTAATGTTTTTCTAATATATGAATAATATTGGATTTGATACAGGATATTAATTAATATATTTATAATTGACTCTTGTATTGTTTTAAATATAGGTGTGAATCTAACTTTATTTTACAAAATTCTTTTCTAAGATGATAATTGTTTTTTACGTATATATTTATTTTATTTTATTTTCTGGTCAAGATGAAACTTGGACCTTTCTCATTGAAGAAGACTATGGGATCATACCAGAAATGCTCTCAAACTTACAATCTAATAATATATATAAATTAACTTGAGAAATACTATCGACACTTTTTATAACTATTTTTTTTACTCACTTTATTGTTAGCTAAAATTGATTGAAAATCACAAATTTATTAATTTTAAAAATTATTTAACGAGTCTCTATCATAATATAATATTAAAATTTATAATTTTCAAAAATGGGTCTATTTGCTTGAACCTATTTTTTACTTATAGAAACATTTTTTTAAATAAAATAATCACTTGTTTATTTTTTTTACGTCTTTGTTTAAACTTATTTCTTTTAAAATAAACAATTTTTTTGCCTTTTTTTTTAGAAGTAACTCATATATGCTTTTTAAATAATTATTTTTTAAAAATACTTATTTAGAAACACTTTTTTTTAAGTTTAAAGAAATAGGCCCAATATAAAATATCAGGAAGAGAATCTCACTAGCATTTTTTAACTAACTTAACAATTATAAAAATTCACAAATTTATTTAAGAGGATATAATTGGTCAATAGTCATATTTATTTATACAACATGTATGAATATATATATATATATAT